TTCTTACATTTACTCCATTTTAAAGAAGGATTTTAGTGTGATTTTTTTTTTCTAAAAGTTTGCAAGACTTACGTGTTTTGTAGTAAATTTTTTGTAAATGCGATAAATCCTTTAGTGTATAAAACTGTAAGAAACTATAACACACCACACACCGGTCTCACAGAGTAAAGTGACGTAGAGACTGATCGAGCTTTGGTTAATTTTGTATATATCTGGGACTCCCGTATGAAAATACTATATCGATATACGTGTTCACCGCTTCCCAAATATACAGGTCACTGTTTATCAATAACGTTCAATTTTTTTTCCTGTTTTAATCACAAAGTAATTACAAACGACGACGTAATTTTTTCGAGCAAATAAATTTTATTTATTTTATGCTACAGTGAGTTTTGTTTTATCCATGTTGATTATAATTTTGATTCATACATGGCTAAACATGAACAAATATCGTTGTTTTATGTTGTTTTATTAAGCCTTCGTTTTCAGTATGGTTTTTTTTAAATTTTGTTTTTAACCTCAAAAATCGTAGGCTCATTTGGAAAATGTCTACAGTTTAAATTAGAGGACACGTGTTTGCATTACTTAAGAAAATAAAAATTTATTGCCCCGCAAACGTGCGATCAATTGGAGATGACAGCAGCTGTCAAAGGAAAAAACCCAATTAATAATAATTCGATTTTATTTTGTTCGTTTTTTACCGTTGATGATGATGAAACGGGGTAAGCGAGTGAAGTGAAAAAAGCTACAGCTGTCTCGAGGTTGTAGATGGTGGATGCTCGATGCTGAAAAGCACGATCGACGAGAAGATAACGTGGTGCAGAGAGCATGGTTAAGGTGGGTGGGTGGTGGGGGGCATGTGGCGATGGCTTGATTAGGTAGGCTGGTAAGACTAAGGATGGAATCGCTTAGAAACTTACGTTTCTTGGTCCGTTGATTCGACTGCGGTAGTTTAGCCCTCTTTTACGTCCACTTCCCGCCGTCCTAGCCCACCTTTAGATAGTTTATTGTGAGGGTCAGGTTAACATTGGTCGTTCGATATAGATAGAGAAATGAGAGAGGAGCTAGGCGCCCTATAACGCACCCAGACACTACACGCACTCAAACTTAACTCCGCTCCACTCCGAGCCGTTCTGGCTACGGGCTGCGGGCTGCAGGCTGCTTGCTGCCTATCAATTCTCTCGTTTTGTTAGAATAACGCGATGTCCGTCAGAGGCGCTGCTTGCATACGACCGCTTGCCGCTGCCGCTGCTCTCGCTACTGCTTTGCTTTTGCTTCTGCTTCAGCTGCTGTCTAATCTACCTACTGCCTTCATCCAGCTTTTCTTCCTTCCTTTCGTCCTTTCCTTCGAATACAAATGCTCTCCTATCCCATATCCTACATTCGAAACTCATCTCAACGCCCTCTAACAGCTAACTCTCAAACACCGCCGAACGTTGCAACTCTCTACTTCAATTACCCAATAACCTCAAGCATAGCCATTCAATAATCAAAGGAATATTTTTGCTCGAAATCTTAAGGTGCCAGTATGAACTCTCGCCATTTTTGCAAAACTATAACCAAAATAATTTTAATATTCTATACATTGTCGGAAAAGATTAAAACGGCTACAGTATTTTCCACGAAATGTTATAGTTAGCAGAGCTGGAAACGTTACTTCTGAAAAGTATCTAGTTACTTTTCTTAGATACTTTAAACAAAATAACTTAGTTACCTCGGGTAACTAGATACTTTGAGTTGAAAGTATCTTTAGTTACAAGATACCTTAGAAAGTATCTAAGATACATTTAAGTAACTAAGATACTCTTGAGTAACTAAGTTACTGTGTAAGTATGAATAAAAACTATAAAATTATAAAAATTCAACAAGTTTTAGGTAAGGTAATTACTTTGAATCATTCTGGAATTCCCCCAATTTTCTCTAAGATAGTATCTAAGTTACTTGAATGTATCTTAGTTACTTTACCGAGTAACTTACAAGATACTTTAATGTAACTTTCTGTCCAATATAATATTATGAAAATTCCACAAGTTTTAGGTTAGGTAATTACTTTGAATCATTCTGGAATTCCCCGAATTTTCTCTAAAAAACAACATGCAATACGGCCTTGAAAACTTGATGGCAAGAATAATTTCTGCAAGAAAAAATGGTTCAAGAGGAATTGCCGGCTGTAATACGGCCTTTAAGAAAGTATCTAAGTTACACTGAAAAGTACTTTAAAAAGTATCTTAGCTACTTTAAAGTATCTATGTTACTTGAATGTATCTTAGTTACTTTACCGAGTAACTTAGATACTTTTTTAGATACAAGTTACAAGATACTTAGGTTGTTAGGTTTTAGGTTAGGTAATTACTTTGAATCATTCTGGAATTCCCCCAATTTTCTTTAAGAAAGTATCTAAGTTACACTGAAAAGTACTTTAAAAAGTATCTTAGTTACTTTAAAAAGTATCTAAGTTACTTGAATGTATCTTAGTTACTTTACCGAGTAACTTAGATACTTTTTTAGATACAAGGTTCAAGATACTTTTTCAAAGTAACTAAGTTAAAGATACTTTCTGTCCAATATAATATTATAAAAATTCCACGCAATCTTAAGGTGCCAGTATGAACTCTGGCCTTAACAATAATATTCGCCATTTTTGCTAAACAATAACCAAAATAATTTTAATATTCTATACATTGTCGGACAAGATTAAAACGGCTACAGTATTTTCCACGAAATGTTGTAGTTACTTCTGAAAAGTATCTAGTTACTTTTCTTAGATACTTTAAACTTTTAACTTAGTTACCCCGGGTAACTAGATACTTTGAGTTGAAAGTATCTCTAGTTACAAGATACTTTAGAAAGTATCTAAGATACTTTTGAGTAACTAAGATACTTTTAAGTAACTAAGATACTTTTGAGTAACTAAGTTACTTTTAAGTATGAATAAAAACTATAAAATTACGAAAATTCAACAAGGTAATTACTTTGAATCATTCTGGAATTCCCCCAATTTTCTCTAAGAAAGTATCGAAGTTACACTAAAAAGTATCTAAGTTACTTTATAAAGTATCTTTGTTACTTTAAAAAGTATCTTAGTTACTTTAAAGTATCCAAGTTACTTAAATGTATCTTAGTTACTTTACCGAGTAACTTAAATACTTTTTTTTAGATACAAGTGACAAGATACTTTTTCAAAGTAACTAAGTTACTTTCTGTCCAATATAAAAAGTATCTTAGATACTTTAAGTATCTAAGTTACTTTTAAGTATCTTTTTTTTCAAAATACTTCCAGCTCTGGTAGTTAGTAATCTCTGATATAAAAAGTACAACTGTAATACAGACAATTAACCTAAATTTTAGCAAGCAAAGTGGAAAGAAATTAAAATATTTAAACTAGCAGCAAAATAAGATTTTGATAAATGCAAATTTAATGGAAGAGTTCATTCGACGTTGAAATTAGAGAAAATTCTGTTTCAAGGACACGTGTTAGCATAACTTAATGCCGGTTTATTTTTAATTTTAATTTCCATTAAAATAACATGGAAAATTAAGGATTTTTTTTCTATTTCCGTATTTTACGATACAACAATTTACATAGGAGCGATTTGTGCATAATTTAAAAGTACAACAATTTTTATACAACCCCAATTTTCCGACCTGTAGATGTGTCATTTTATTTTAAATTATAAAATACGCACTAAGCCTTAATTAATTTGTTTTTTTAATTATTTTTCTTTCCCAAATACAAATTAAAAAACAAACTAATTGGAGTTTAATTAGGCGTTACGAAAAGCAGAGGGTCAAAAAGCATAAATAATGCGGTTTTTTTGTTGCCTTTTAGTAAGAGAGTTATAGAATTGGAAGCGGCGCCGTTATGTCCTGCAGCAATGAAATCAACATGGTATGTATATATAGAAAAATTATAAAAATACAATACAACAATTTGCTTTTAAACTTTTTTTAAATATTTTATTAATTATATTGATTTTCCTGTATGTATAAATATTTTACTTATATTGTAAGAAGTTAAGAATTTGGTAAACAACCTGACACTCAAGATTTATTATTGCAAATTATAATCTATTTTATAAATAATTGTTTTCTGATGAAGCCATAGAAAGTAAATATAAAAATTAGTAAAATTCGATTAGGCTGCCCAATGGGAGATTTATATTTTCTGGTCGTTCATAGAAAATCAATGACTGCTTGTGAGTAAGGTCAACACAAATAGGCTTGTTCCGTTAAGACTTGAAAAAAACAGTTTTCTGGATTAGTCCATTGTTGAAAAGTAAATAAAATTCTTCCAATTCGATTTTGATTTTTTATCAAATCATTATCAAACAAATTGTTTGATATATAAAGGTTATTTTCTTTCAAGATTTTTTAAGCTTTAAGCAATTGCAACTAATTAGGTTTGCTCTCAAAAAAAATAACTTCATTCAAATAATATGCGGTGTACACACGCGAAAAATCAATAAAATCAGAAGTGACTAAGACCTTGAACTTTAATACCTTTGCAGCCTGATTGATAAAATACCTGAAATAAAATGAAAAATGTTTTCGATGAAAAAATTTGCCGAGAATTTATATTTACAACTTCAAGAGTCATCATAAATGCACTTATATTTCCACGTAAACATATTTGTGAAGTGAATATTTTTTCATGGAACATAGAAAATTATCTCTATAGAAAGCAATAATCCAATCATCGCACTCGCGATCGAAAATGCAATACTTCTTTTTAAAGCTGTCTTTAGGTCAGGAAAATATTTAAAAACATCCCTAGACAACCAGAAATATTTTTTTGAAATTTGTGACTTCTATAGAAAATGATGTCTATAGAAAGCAAATAACCAATCAGAGCACGGCATTCTCCACAGCACACTTCGCATGCGAATTTCGAAAAAACACCCACAGTTCTAGAAGTACCCAAAAAGACGTAAAAATAATAATAAACATAACTCTAAAATTATTATGATTTATTTTAAAATATACTCAATCCAAAAATATAAATGTAAAGTGCTAAATTATAATAATATATATTAAACATTGTAATATCTTAAGTAGGTATAATATTATCAAAAACCTTCATCGTCGACTTTTTTCTTTCTCCTTTCCAAAACATGTTTTAACTCGGAAACCTTAATGGTCTCATACTAAAATAAACATTAAAATTATTCAACTGAAAATAGTATTAATAATTACTATAATTATATCCTTAGGATAAGTGAATTAATAATTATTATAATTACCCAGTTTAAATGGTTACACAATTCGCATTGTGAAGTAAAAATAACAAAAAATGTGGGAAAATAAACAGTCAAAAGCTATTAATATTGATTAAAATGTGTAGGCAACCATCAGCACTACAGATGTATTGTGCGTTGCCTAAGGTAATACTTACGCCACTTTTATTTTTTTGGAGTAACAACTGGGAGTAAAGTCGTTTCCCCTTGGCGCCGCAAAGTTTTTCAAGATCCTCCTTTGAAAACGAAAACAATTGCTTGCTAGATAGATTTTGGAATTTTTCGTATGTTTCATTTTCGAAGCCTTTAAGGTTGAACCAACGTTGGATATCGTCTTTCGATGAGTTGTGATCGATATTAATGTCTGGAGTTTGTTTAATGTCTAAGTGCGGTTTTTTCTCTTTTTCCCCAATAATACTATACACTGAGTACAATTGCTCGTGCATCGATGCGATCGATTGAGAACGCCTAAAATTGATTTTTATGAAACTTTTTTTTGCGATTTTTTTCGTAGTCTTACTGCAATTTTCTGTTGGCCTCTGGACTAGCGTCTTTAAGCGGCGTAGTACGAATTTGAGGGGCCTTCATTATTGGAGGCGGCGATGGCACAGAATCCGCCATAATTGGGGGTGGAGGGGGAATTGGAATAGGACTGGGACTACGTGATGCATAATCATCTAAAAAGTATAAAACCTATTTTTGACGCTGGATAACAACGGTTATGGCTAACCACGTAATTTGGGCGGTGGATGGAGCTGATTAGCTTTCAATCACCGCTGTCGCTGTATCCTGCACTCTTGAAACTAAAGCACGGTGACACTTACCTTAAATAATGACATAAGGACAAACAAAAGCTTAAGCACAAAATTTGATATACATATTTATTTTTCGGGTATAGAATAAGTAGGTATACATGGTGTAAATTTTTAGTTAGTAGACAAATATTCATGATTCAATTGAGTTGTTAAAAATCAATTTTATATACAATTATCTAATAAATAAAAATGTTTTTGTAATAGTAGAGAGGCTTAAATAATTTGGTGTTTAGTAATATCAGTAAGAAATGGACTCGATCAATGCTTTAAATAATATTGAATGCGTGTGGCACTGACAGAGTTATAAATAAAGTATAAAAATAATTTGATTTTTAATAAAAAAAATAAACATTAAAGTATGGCTGATATTCGAGCGGACGTAGAAATTAATAAGTCTTTATATAAAAAAAATGAAAATAAATAACCAACTTGACCATTATAAGAATGTTTTATACAACAAAAGCGAAAATAAAAACATTGACATGGACAGTTTAAAAATAACGGAACTCCCCCTTCTTACCAATCCTTTCATTTTTAATCCAATCGGAGGAATTCTTACTTTGCATTTGCTGGTGAGTAGGGGGCATGTGATCGGACATGCCAGAACTGTGACCTTGAGTGTAACGATCCATTGGAGAATCCTCCCTCGGTCGGTTATGTTGGATGTAGATTGGATTGCTAAATATGTTGTTTGAGGACGGATTGTATGGAGCAACTATTGTATGTGGTACGTGGGCCACCTGGCCTCTGCTGTTCCTAGCTTTCCACCATTTTCGACTATTGTCCAAAATCTACACAACAATATACATATTAGAAAAATATCACCTCGAAAACAATTGACATTACCTCCAAAAACTCTCCTCTGACTACAGTAAGCTCCTTTTCGTTATTAGCAGTTCTGGGGTACGTTACTTGAACAACATTAGCATCTCTACGCTGCAACTCCTCAAAGAAGGTTTCCTGATTTCTATTGACTGGAAAACCGCGGTCATCGCCCCTATTTTCTATGGAATCCACGGAAATGTCGCTTTTTGTGCTGTCTCCGATGTTTGGGGGAAGGTCCCTTTCCTAATATTAATAAATATAAATATTAAACAAGTTTTTTCTTGACCTTGCAATTTACCTTATCTGGCGGATGGTGGTGATTATCGTTGCTTCTGGTGTCATATAAAATGTCCTGGCTGGATGGATAATCGTTATAATCGCTGTAATGAGCATCGTGAGGGTCCCGATATTTATCCATGCTGGATTCAGGCTCATCAATAATGTCGGGAGACCAACCGTCCATGAAAACTGGGTTGTATGGCGGAACATTGCCTTTGTATTGGTCTCTGTAAATAAATTATTTATTATTCGTAGAAATCAGATACATGATTTGTCTACACAGAAAATATTTTAAAGTATCAATAATTAAACATTCAATTTTCTTAGTTTCTTGTTAACGTTTAGCTCGGTTGGGCTTATTCTAGATTTCTTTAGGCCATATCTGTGATACAATTTGCCGTGTGCGGTCTCGGTTGCATAGTATGTACCGATTGCGGATGTTCTTACATCTCGCCTCTGTTGGCTTACCAAAGCAGTATATAAGCTGAGGTAGTCCTTTGTTTCACTACACCAAGTTGCCCGACACTGATGAGACCCATTATAGGTCGAAACAGCTCTCTGTCGGTATTTGAAGTTGGTGTAACGCACTCAAAACAAAAAACTTTGGCGAGGTGTAGGTTCAATTATTTCTTATCAATAATTGTTAAGTTAAATTAAAATAATAATGTTAATGGTGAAACCATTTTTAGATAATAATAAGTATTTGTAATGGAAAAATATAGTATTAAACTTGATACATAATATACTATTTAGTATTTTAAATGGACAATTCAATAAACTGATGGTATAAAAACCAAAAAGCAATCGATTGTTGTAAAATATTATCTGAATTAAAATTTCATCAAAATTATAAAATTTTATAACGGCCACTTGACTTTTATTGTTTCCATAATATTTATCTGATAGCTCAAGTATTGCTGCCTTGAAAAATACTAAATTATAAAAGTAAAATGCCGCGTTTTATCAATAGTAAAATAAAATAAAAATTTTGGGAATGTATGTTACCTTGACATAAGCCATGCATTTCCAAGAGAGTGCCATAGCTCAGTTTCTTTGCTGGTGACGCAATTCATAAGCAGATTGACCGCTTCTCTCGTGAGCAATGGGGAGAACACGTTTTGGGGTAGATGTTGATCGAAGTAGGTGTCGTGCGAGGCTTCGACTATCAAAGCCAGAGGCGTGAATAAGAAATGCACCAGCTCTGGCGCGTTGGGGTCGTGGATGTGCGCCTTCAGCTTCGCCAGCAAGTTAAAGGAGAGCTTGAACTTCTGAAAGATGTCGATGAACTCCTTTTCCGGCGGCGGTTTCGTCCGCATCGTCAGCATACCGTCCCCCATGTCCCTCTTCTTCGACTTCCTGCTCTTCCTCCGTCTCTCCAGCTCGCGAGCCGCCGCAGCTGCGTGCTGAAGCCGAGCGATGAACTTTTCGATGTCGTCGAAGCAGTGATTCAAGACGGTGACGTCGCGCTCGTACTTTTCGCTGGTCGTCGAGCTGGAATCGTCGTTGTTCGCCGTCACTTCGGAATCCGAGCCGTGGTGATGACTGTAATCTCTCGCGTGGTGATCTCTTTGGGGGTTGATTATGTTTTGCGGCGGTTTGTGGGAGGGCGGAGGGATGCTGGTTTTTCGGCTTCTGCTGACGGCCTTGCCCAAACGCAATTGTTTTAAATCTTCCACCAAGTCTTGCGCCGATATGCTCTGACACTGCAAAATAGTTATGTCATAAGGTTAAGAAGTAAGGCTTTTTGTGCTACAATTGAGCGAAGCACAAAAAGGCACTTCTTAGCCGAATGGCATACAACATTTTATCTTCAAAGCACTTTATATAGGTCAATTTAATTCAACATCAAAGCGGCCTAACCTCACTTTTTTAGAATCGCATTTATTTATTAGCTAAAGATTACATTAAATGTACAATAATTATTATTGCTTTTAGAAGCAGTAATAGTTTGACAATACCTAGCAACATGATTTAAGTAGAAATGGATTTTTGCTATTACATTGAATTCAATTAATTGTTTAATAAATAGGCAGGTATCTAATTTCAATTTGTTTGTATTTTTATTTAAAAAATAGGTAGTTTGGAATGTTTAAGCTGTGTTTTACATTTAATTTCACTGAAAACTTAAAGCAAATTAAAACTTAAAGATAATTTAAATCGTAGAAAAAGAATCATGCGTTTTCTTGGTTGCCTAACCTCACTTTTTGTTTTATTATTCATATTTAATTTTACAATAATTTAATGAAAAACATTAAACATTAACAGTAAAACAATTATTATAAATAAATTAAACCAGTTTAGTACGTTAATTTCTTAGAAAAGGATTAATTTGTCAAAACAATACCCCTAGCGAAAAAAAATCGAACTAATTACTTGCCTCATAAAATTTTTTATCGGCCTAGGCCATAACAAGGTATTTTTTTATCGAATGTTGACAACAATAAAGTTTAAATTATAGACCGCGTGAGGATAAAAGATTTTTTAGATCCATCGTCACTCCCACATTTTTACCTTGCGTAATAATGTAAATTCTTACATTATTTATATAGTAAATTAATTATACAAACATATTTGTTTTTGCCTTAGGCAATGTTACTGCAATACCAAGATTCATATTGGTGTAGGTATGTGCAAGATCTTTCTATGTTGACCAATAACAATATTTTTTGTTAATTATTATAATTTTAAATTTAGAACTTCCAGATGTAATGTTAACTCAAATATTAAAAATATATACATAAATTTCTTTATAAAAAGCTAAAAGTGCCATAATATGCATATTATGTAAAATCCACTAAAGATCTCGTGAACACAATGAAAAAAACCAAATGCCAAAACAATTTGTATAAAAAAAATGTTAAATATAAAAACCATCTACATATTGGTATGTCTATGATATAAACCTTTTGGCTATTGTGGTAGAAATACGACGTTGCCAAATTATTGCTGTTATAAACATGCCATTATATAATCTAAAGTATCATTCCTAACTTCCCCTTCTTTAGCTTTAGCTAGAAACTTATTGAATCATAGTAAAATCAAAGATGAAAAAAGTAAATAAAAATCAAGCCGGCAACATAAAATCGTTAAAATGTCATCTTTATATGCTTAGGTGCTCGATCACGTCAAATAAGTTATTTAAAGAATAAAGAAAATCACTTTCCTTCAAAGTAAAAACTCTCTATCGATTCGACATAAAGATCATTGAAAGTAAATTTTATTACATTTAACAATAAATTTCACTTACCTGGAAAATGTGCATTTCGGGGGGATGCGATTGCTGAGCATTGCCAACAATAAAAACTAAAATATTATTGTACATATCCATTGGATCTTGACTTGTGAACGCTGTCGGCTCTTGTATGGAATTTGCGGGGAATCTTTCCATTACATTCTTAATAAATAAATATTTTGTTTATTTGACTTTTCAAATGAGGTTTTATAAAGTTAACTTACCCCTGTTTCAAAATCCATTATAAGCACCCAGGAGTTGTCAAGGGACAAACACATTTTCTGCGACCAAATGCCATTGCTTTTTTCTAATTGCAGCAGTCTTCTCATACCATCAGCGGGGTACATTATCCCTGTTTCGGGGGTTACCGTGAATGTCGCCAAATGCTCGATTATGTGAGGTTTACCCCCTTCAGGGGTTCTGTCGTCCCTATCCATGTCCCTGTCGTTTTCTGAGTAACCGTTTCGGTACGCCATCTTTCAAACTAGTTTCTAAAGGAAGATTTGTATAGTCAGACGCTTGCGCAATAGAATTTTAAGCAGCCTAAATTTAGACAGTTTGGGACGCTTGTTGGAACAAACCTATTTTCGAGGGATTTTATAACAATATTATATTAATGTATATTTGAATCACGCATTATTTTTTATACTGGCACCGTCATAATATTTATTGTAAAAGGCTGCTGATAAGATAAACTATTATGTACACCTTTAATTTATTTTTCATGCTAATCTTTAATTAAATTATAGCACAATTATTGACCGCTTCTGCTTTAAAGTGTTGATTGTTTAAAATTAAAAGAAACACTTTTTTTAAATAAATAAACATTGCTGTAACAGTTCTTTAAAATAATTGTTTGTTTGGGGGAAATAATATAATAATATAATGAATGTGATAATACATGATATTGCTGATAAAAATTAATTAAAATTCTATAAATATTTAAGGTACTTTCTAGAATTTTAATGGTAATATAATGCCATTTTACTTTCCAAATATTGTTGAACATTTTATTACAATTTAATTATTTTTATTTAAAGTTTAAATCACGTTTAAATGCGGTTTAAGTTGATTTTGTTGTTAAAGACAAAAACTAAAATTACTGTACCGCGGTATAGGCGTGTATCCCAATAAAAACATAGTTTATATAAAATAAAGCAAACCGAACTCCAAAATGATTAATATTTTTCCTAGAAGTCCTGAAAAATTACCTGTTCCAAATAAAAATGTACAAGTAATTATTTCCCCATACCTGCCTTTAGGTTACAGTCAAGGTAGTCTGTGGATGAAAAAAAATCGACGAAAATATTAATTTTCATTATTAATTGTTGATTTGCCACACCTTTAATCATACATTCAGTGGTATGCAAAGAATTTCAGCTATATGTAAGTATGTATGTATCTCTGTACAATAAAACGTCACTTATATTAAGTATGGTAAACTTATTCGACAACTGAGTTTTAAAGGTGCATGATGCATTTTCAATACTTTTTTGTATTATATAAATATGTAAATTTAGAAATAATAATAATAATAATACTTTTAATTTAACAAAAACATGAAGATATTTTCTTTTTCGTATGTTATATGCTTTAAGCCACCGTGGCGTAGTACACAACAGTAATGGTAACAGTTAGATGAATACATAATTTCTAAGTGACTTACCTTTGCTATTGCTTGCTCAATAAATTAGTTATCCATGACAGGTTCACTTCGATTTGTTAAATTAATGTTTAAATGCACTTAAAACACTTTAAACATACACCACAGTATTTTAGATTATTAAAACCTTCCCACCTGATGTATAGAAGGTAAGTCGATAACTACATACCTACTATTAAATTCGGACATGCGTACTGGACTCACCTGTACAGGTACAATTAATACCAACATTACCAAGTTTATTATACCGGGTACTACTTAAATATTCTCAATTTTACAGTATCAAGTTGATACTATCAACCTAAATATCAATCCTTAACACAATATTTGTTGTATATTTTAATAGTTTGGCTGTAAATTAATAAATTTAAATTTTGTAAAAAAATTTTTTATATATATTTACTTTATATAAATTTTTAAACGCCTTCGTATTTTTAATTTGTCTTAAAGTGACTAAAACCTTAGGTATTTTACCTCGCGAATCAATTACAAATTTATGAATATTTTCTATGAACACTTAAAAATACAAAAAATTAATTAAAATCTTATCATTTTGTTGCATACACCTATTAAATGGTAATCAAATCGCATTTTTCTTGTTTGAATTGAAAAATTACTTTTCACGTTAAAAATATATTAAATCGACCACAAAGTATTCCTTTCTATACCTTTATAGTTTAAAATGCGTTCCATAGATGTCTCCCCGTAGCCATGTGAACACATACTTCCACACAGAGACAAAGAAGGTGCTTCCATACAGGGCCCATTGAGTATGACAGATGTTAAAAAAGGACGACGCACATACGCGTATGTGGGACAATGTAATAATTTCCTACTCTAGAAGCAGCTTTATTGATTCAAATGTAAAGTATTCCTTTCCATACTTTTTTAGTTTGTAGAGTTTTCCACAGATGTCTCTACATGTCCATGTAAAATAAACTGGAGAATTCAAATAATATCAAGTCACACTATAAAATAGTATATTATGTATCAAGTTTGATAAACGCCATTTTATACACGAATTTAATTTAGGCACAAGCGAGCTTGCGAGCGAGTGCTTAAATTAATGAGTGTATAGAAAAGTTTATAAACGAGGTGCATACAATACTTTTTCTACGACAATACTTATTATTATCTTAAAATGATTTAAATCAAAATTTTTTATAGAGCGCCATCTATGAAACAATAAAGGAATCTGTGTGTCACCGTCAAATGTAATTTTTTTATTTTATAAACACATATTATAAAGGTTATAAATCGAAATGTATTTCTTGAAAATTGACATTTTTTCACAGTGAAAGTAAAGAAAATGTTTTATGAGCACTTAACAGTGAGGTCCGTGTCCGAATTTAAGTTATAGTTAAATTAAAAGGTCAGTACAATGTTGATATAAACTTTTCAAATATTGGCTATTTAATACTTATGTATTGAGATAATAAAATAATTTTCACAATTAGTATTATTTTACAAGAAAGGCACTTTATTTTTACGATTCTATGACATTTGACAACTGTCAACTAACTTAAAACTAACTTCAGCCCGTGACTAAAAACCTAATGCTAACTTCAGCCCGTGACTAAAGCGCCATAAAGCCACAACTTGTCAATGTGTATTAAATACACTGTATTTAAAAGGTCACTTAGTGTCATGGAAACATGTACGAAAAGGGCGTTTTAAAGGTGGGAGTAGAAAAAATTATTTAATATGTTTATTCATTATTTTTTATACATTAAAGGCGTATTTCTTATATTTTACCTGTACCCACTTATCAGCATTATCGTTGAGTTTCTTGGTAAAAAGTTACTCTTTAAGGAGTTTACTTTGTTCTTTTCTAATAAAATTTGTATGAAACCCAACGTTTTTCTTGAGCTTGTCAACTTAATTAATTTGCTCATCTGTGTTATTTTAGCCATTTTGACATTTGAGTTTTGTGTAAATATGAGGAAAAAAATATAGAGCATCAGGATTAGTTTACTAACGATACATACTCGTACATAATACAATATTACATACCTAATAATTAATTTGGCTTTTATGATACATTTCTGTTGTGTAGGGTTAGGGTAAATATAAATGGGCTGTGTTGTTATTTGAGGAGAAAATAAATTTCATGCCGGTCGACTATTTTACTTTATTCTCTCCTCCAAGAAGCAATTGGTGCTTCATAAGTTTAATTGTTCGCTATCTCGACAAAGTTTTTGTTTGCGTTAAGGGCGTGCAAAAGGAAATATTATCGTTTAATTCATGACACGTTCACCAAAGATAACATGTGTCTTTTGTCATTTAATATATTTCCTTCCGCTCAGTTTTTTTTGTTTACCTTGCTTACACATGCACACACCGCTTTTGTTTTATTTGTCTTTTCTCTTTCCTCAACGTGTTCGCCAACACACAAATTTCATATTATTTCTGGACACTTTTGTTTTTCAATATTTTGTAACAAATAGACCTCTGCCGCTGCTTCCGCAAATGCAGAAGTTGTGCACACTTTTGCACATCCGGGCATTTTATTATTGGTCGCTAAATTACTGTTTATTGAATGTATTGCCTATATTTTATTTTGAATATTAATTTTTAGTATTTATACTTCCGCATCCGCAATAATTTGCTATTGACATCTGTTAATAAAATGATATAAATATATTGATTGTTGTTGTTGTTGTTGATAAATGAAAGTAATATTAAAATGAATTTTATTGCGGTAGGAAAAATGTAGAAACTGCTTGCGCAAATGCAGAAGTTCTGCACACTTTTGCACATCCGGGCATTTTATTATTGGCCGCTAAATTACTGTTTATTGAATGTATTGCCTATATTTTATTTTGAATATTAATTTTTAGTATTTATACTTCCGCATCCGCAATAATTTGCTATTGACATCTGTTAATAAAATGATATAAATATATTGATTGTTGTTGATAAATGAATGTAATATTAAAATGAATTTTATTGCGGTAGGAAAAATGTAGAAACTGCTTCCGTGAATGCGGAAGTTCTGCACACTTTTGCACATCTGGGCATTTTATTATTGGTCGCTAAATTACTGTTTATTGAATTTACTGCATATGTTTTATTTTGAATATTAATTTTTAGTATTTATACTTCCGCATCCGCAATAATTTGCTATTGACATCTGTTAATAAATTGATATAAATATATTGATTGTTGTTGTTGATAAATGAAAGTAATATTAAAATGAATTTTATTGCGGTAGGAAAAATGTAGAAACGGGAGAGAATAGCAATCGAAAACAGTTTAGTCCAAGTAAGTTGATTTTGGAAGATATCACATCCTGGAATGCCCCACCGAACGGGCCGCAGAATCCGGTTATCTATCTAGATGATTGCTCTTTCCCAACTGGCTATCACCCAACAAAAATTTCACAATCACGTTTTTTTTTTCTTCATCCAATTCATTGCCTTTATTTTATAGCCAACTATTATCGCATACCCTATTTATTTTTTACCACATTGTATATGTCCTACGGACCACAAATTATGTCGCGAATAGCGTACTTTAATTTTAGTTTTTTGGTTTTATGATCCAAATTTAGGGAGAGGAGAAATAATTTTAACTTTAAAATCTCCATTTTTCACAAGATTAAAAATAAAAACTTAAAACAGTTAATATTAATAAATAATAATAATAATAATAATAATAGATTTATGAATAAATACAAATAGTGCTCTTTTTTTTCCTAAGAACGAAAATTAATAATTTAAGTGGGCTGTTTTTTATTTTTGTCTAATTTGTAGTGGGTTAACTTAATTTTTTTTATTGTTGAATGTATTGAGTTGGGTTTTCTCAAACAGACATTAAATTAGGTAAGTTTGAAAGTCTCCATCTAAATGGCAACTAAGTTTGCATTTGCATTGCAAACACGCCGGATTCCAATGGTTTTAACTACTTTTCCATTAAATATTACTGGTTTCAGTTAGCATCTTTAGAATGCTCGAAAATCGCTTTTATGGTCTGAATACGAAATTGATTCAGATTGCATAAATTAGCAGAAAAACATTGGAAATTACTTTAAATCCTTTGAACTTAAACCAAATAGAAATATAGTTTATTTACATTTAACTTGAAGGCTTTATTTCGAAGAACCCTTGAAAAGATTTGTGTTTAATTTAAAGTCGGTTACATTTTCGTGGGATAAAGCAAAAAAATCTTTTTCTAAATGAAATGAACACATTTCCGGACATTTGTCCGCACCAAATTGCTCATAAACTTGCGGATATTACCGAAAAAGAAATTTCAACAAAAATGATTATAGACTTGTCCTTTTTTATGTCCACAAGAAGTGTACCAAGCGTATCCTTCTCTTCTTATTTGTCCCAGGGGCGACATTCCAAACGAGATGTCAACAGGAAAAGGCCGAAATATACCCATAAAACATTTACTCCAATTAAAATGACCTCCACATCAGTTTTTTCTTCATTCAAATTACGTTTAAGTTACAGTCGCAGGACTTTTGGAAAATCGCATGTGACGTCACGTGCGAACCAGATTCAAATGTTACAAACAGTTTTGCATAGGCATACAAGGTGTGTTCAGAAAATAACGGGAATTGTTAAATTTCGCGGGTTCATTGGTCCGGTTGTCATAAAATTTTCTTTATTATGTTGGTATACATGCCCCGAAGTATGATAAAAACTTTAGCTGTTTTCATTGTCTGTGGCAGCCGCTAAGGTTAGACGTGTTTTATGAACTCGGCGATTTTTCGTTCGTTAAAAGAAATGGATCAAAGAATTTGTATCCAATTTTGCTTAAAAAATTAAATAAATTCTGTAAAATGTTAAAGGCCTATAGTGAGTCTGATATAAGTAAAACAAGAGTTTACAAGTGGTATAAGAGTTTCCAAGATGGCCGTGAAGACGTTGAAGATGACGAACGCCCCGAACGCACAAGCACATTAACAACCGATAAAAACATGGAAAAAGTGAAAGAAATGGTTATAAACCATCATATAAGTCGCTGATGATGTTTGTATATCGATTGGCTCATCCCATGAAGTTTTTTCGAATGTTTTGGGTATGAAACGCGTGGCAGCAAAATTTGTTCTAAAATTTGTTAAATTTTGAACAAAATTTTTGTCCAAAAACAATACTGTAATGATGCCCTAGCCTCCATATTCGCCAGACATGCCTCTGTCTGACTTTTTCCTATTCCCAAAAATAAAGAGAACCTTAAAGGGCCGTCG